CTATCACACCAGACCGGAGACTTTTCAGATGCACACTCCACTCCACTCCACAAACGAGCGCAGAAACACTAGAAAAAAGGAGGAAATCAATAACTTTTGTATCTTTAAGGATTCATCTATATTTAATTTACAGTTTAGTGTTTGATAACTTTATTCAATTTATGTATATTTCCTACTTGCTGAAGGGCACAGGTAAATATGATATTTATTATAATGGGTTTATGTGAAGTTAAAGTTAAAGTTCACTTAAATGAGAAAAGTTATTTTTTAAATTCTAATAAATGTTAAAATTGATAGCGCTCAATTATACTGTAATGTTGGATATTTTTCCTGTTCCTTATGGACTGTAGTCATATTCTTTTGTTTATGTGTCATTACAGGATCCAGGCCAAGATTCCCGGATCAAAGCCAAAGACAGAGTGAAGAAAGTTAGCTAGTGTGTTATTTCCGTGCACGAGAAGTGATGGTGGAACAAGAGAAGACGGACAGAATCGTTATACTGACCTTCAGTCATAAAAAAAAGATGCAATTAAACAAATATTAATAAATATACTGTCTTTATGTTGTTTGTACATTCATTTGAAGATTAAATGTGAAATTATTGCAGTATAATTATTAATTAATACATTTAGCAGACGCCAAAGCGACTTAAAGTGCATTCAGGCTATACTTTTTTTTTTTTTTTGCCAGTATATGTGTTCCCTGGGAATCAAACCCACGACCTTTTGCGCTGCTAACGCAATGCTCTACCACTGAGCCACAGGACCACTCGTATTTATTGAATTTATTATTATTTTTTATTTCTGCATTCCTATTATATTAATTTATCTTTTTATGACTTTGTAGAAAACCCACCAAAGTTTGCATAAATCAAATGTGTTTGAGTGTGTTTACTTAACCATGCTGACTTCAAAAGAGCAAAGGAGTGGCTTGTGAAATTGTGCATTATGTAGTGTATCTTACCATACAGACATGTGTGTGGGTGTGTGATTGTGTAAGGGTGTTTTGCGGGTTGATTTACGCTGATGTATATGGAGCAAGAGAGGAACACAGAATGCTTGTTTTCCCATAATGCCCCTAAAGGGACAACATTTGCCCATATTCCTCTCTGGGAGCACAAAGCCCTCGCAGTGGGTAAATGGGTATCGATTAAACTTGGAGTTACTTTGAGGCCAGCACTTTTAATGAAAAAATGGGGAAAAAAGATCTTGATCCCTGGCCTGTCATCGGCAGCACAAGCCAAACCGCAAACACAGTGAGAACATTACTCCAAACCACAACGCTGTTCATCTGCTCCCAAACAGACCACACAGCACTAATAGCCATTTGCTGAACAGTTTGGATTTTTAGCTGAATGAATTCACCACAATTGAGTGTTTTGCGACAATATCAATAGCCCTGCACCTATCCACACCTCAAACGAAGCTAAACATATTACGAGCTGGGTTACGCAAGCAGAGATTAAATTAGAAACAACCTAGTTTAAAGCAACCTTATGAAGATAAAGGAAAAGTAATAAATTAGTTGAAAATGAGGCGACATGCCCACAAGCACATGAAACTAAATTATCTATAAAGCACGCACATTGCATGTACAAACAGGCGGCCATTGTTGTTTGACTTCAACTGTTTAAACATGCATTTCAAAGCAATTGAACTCCATGTGGTAAACAATAATGGATAGATAAATTATAGATAGACACTTAATGATAATGTGTACAATTTAAAAAAAAAAAAAAAGCAGAAGGCCAAAGACAGAGTGAAGAAAGTTAGCTAGTGTGTTATTTCCGTGCACGAGAAGTGATGGTGGAACAAGAGAAGATGGACAGAATCGTGTTTGGTTTGGAAAAAGGCCTTAGACGATGCAATGTAAACTTTACCCCCCCCTCCCCTCCAGTGTTTGAATTGTTAGCGTAACTGAGAATGAAATCTTTTTTAAACCTCTTATCAGTTTCTCTCACAAGCAGAGTCATCACTCTTTCACAGTAGATGTAGTTCTCCCTGTTTTGAATTAAACGCAGCTACGTAACACCATTACAGAATGTAGTCTGAGGAACTGATGTCGGCAAAAGCAGGAATCGATGAGGTTTTTCCATTTACTATTCGGTCAGTGAAGCGTTCAGCTTATTTGAAGGCCATTTTGATTCATTTCAGTATGATAAAGGGAGTGAAATGTTTTGGTTACGAAGTTCCTTCACAAGAAGTCTTTTGTTTTTAGCTGTTTTTTTCCCTTTTCGTTTGTACTTGGCGTGCTCGAACACAGTGGTGTTGTGGTGTAACTGCATTAAAGTTGACGCAATTTAATTGTGTTAGAGGTTAAGAGGCTTCTAGTCTTCTGTAGCAGAGTTTAAGAGCAGTTTTATTTCTCACTTGTCTTCAAAGGGATCTGTTATGGCATATTGCACCCAACTATTCATTGTTTTTAGCCGTTTAGTTAAAAACAAAAAAGCAAACTAGAACGTCTGCTGTGTTGGCCTATCACCTTCCTGTCATGTCAAAATCAACAACGTTTCCCGAATTTGCCGTCTCCATCGTGGATCGAATACCTGAAACGGCACACGCTCTAAAAACTCGCAAACTTCAAGCACTGTTTCTTCATGCAGGTCATTTGTAAATGATAATTCAGTTTTGATGAAAATATGCTGAAGACTGTCTGTGAAATGCATTGTGAAAATAAGCCAATAAAGTACCAATAAAGCTTGTAGACAAACTATTTGGGGTTTGTGCCTAATTTGAAGCTCTTTGATATTTACAATGCAGTTTGTCACGTACTTTGGCGCCATCCAGTGGTGCTGTGTGGAAGTGTAGAATTTGATCTGATTTAGTCATTTTGAGCATCAGTCATATTCCTGACATTAACAAGAATTTTATTTCAAATCTCAGATATACTGCAAATGACATTCACCTTGTGTAGTTTCTATGGTATGAGATATTTACATGAGAGAAAGCTGAAAGCTACCCTTATAATAGAGTGTAACAGTCAGGCTCTTTAAATGAAAATCACGATAATATGCTCACACATTTCCTCTTAACAAATTATCTTTGGATGAAGGTGCTTTCAGAACCTGCAGAAAAGTGTGTGTGTGTATATATATATATATACACACACACACACACACACATTAGACATTTGTCCATGTCCAAATGCTTTTAAAAGAAATGTAATGTGTAAAAATAAAAGGACAAAAACAGCATTGTATGGTTTATTGTTTTAATAGAATTAAAACAATTATTTTCTCTCTTTCTCCACACATACAAATATCTATCTATATAAATATACATATGCATACTTGAGTATATGTATATATGCATGTGTTTTTGAAAGAAACGTGTCCGACATTAGCTAAGCATTTTATGTGTTTAATGACTTTTTTTGTTACATTCATTGTATGACATGGTACTAAAAAAAATGTGATTTTATGTAATACTTAAAATAGAATGAATTCAACCAATTTCTACATGCTCATGAAAACAGATATAAAAGAAATAACCCCTGCAACAACCAGTTTAAGCACTGATAAACAGCATAGGCCTATTTTCAGTAGTTCCAATTTTCTAACTAAAAAAAAAAGTCATGTTCTTAAACTGCCTTTAACTCACTGAACTCGGATCAGTCTTCCACTGGCCTTCATGCCTCCAATCACTTTGTGTGCGCAAGAGAGAGAGTGATAAAGTATTGTCCGTGTTGTGCAGCCATTCATTTGAATGAAGATTAGGTCATCCTGTTGTGCTGGAAAGATCATTAGGGACAGGTGTGTGTGTGTATATATATATATATACACACACACACACACACACATTAGACATTTGTCCATGTCCAAATGCTTTTAAAAGAAATGTAATATGTAAAAATAAAAGGACAAAAACAGCATTGTATGGTTTATTGTTTTAATAGAATTAAAACAATTATTTTCTCTCTTTCTCCACACATACAAATATCTATCTATATAAATATACATATGCATACTTGAGTATATGTATATATGCATGTGTTTTTGAAAGAAACGTGTCCGACATTAGCTAAGCATTTTATGTGTTTAATGACTTTTTTTGTTACATTCATTGTATGACATGGTACTAAAAAAAATGTGATTTTATGTAATACTTAAAATAGAATGAATTCAACCAATTTCTACATGCTCATGAAAACAGATATAAAAGAAATAACCCCTGCAACAACCAGTTTAAGCACTGATAAACAGCATAGGCCTATTTTCAGTAGTTCCCATTTTCTAACTCTAAAAAAAAAAGTCATGTTCTTAAACTGCCTTTAACTCACTGAACTCGGATCAGTCTTCCACTGGCCTTCATGCCTCCAATCACTTTGTGTGCGCAAGAGAGAGAGTGATAAAGTATTGTCCGTGTTGTGCAGCCATTCATTTGAATGAAGATTAGGTCATCCTGTTGTGCTGGAAAGATCATTAGGGACAGGTGCGCATGCAGCCAAACAGATTACCAGACTGCCTTTCTGAAATGAACTTTCTATTGATTTCTGGCCTTTTTTTAGGGAGCAGGAGAGGAGAGGTAAGCCTTGTTTTTCTCTCGTCTCGGCTGAGCACAGATGCTTCCGTGCTGGGAAGATAATTTGCTGCATGAAGGGACACTTTCCTCTCATTGGCAAACGCCTCATGCCTGCTCTTCATTCCATTCGCATTACGACTGCTATTTACTCAGGGATAAATTAGAAAGTTGCATCAAATGAAAAATACCAGGGGGGCTAAAGGAGTACATTCATATGGCACTAATAAAAATGGGACATAATCTTGTATTCTGGCTTTTCTAGTGTTTTTCCTGAGATGCTTTTATGACCTGAGGCAAGAAATCAGAAGAAAAAAAACTAAAGAAACACAAAAATAGGACACAAGCAATGTGCTGTCAAAGTTGATTTTGATAGAGAATTGTCAAAATGATGGTGAATAATTTTTCCATAGTGCTTTTCCAAATACGTGACCTTATGAACCCCTTGTATGTGCCCCTGTCAGAGCCGGTTAGCATCTCTCCAAATATGATAAAACGAATACAGACAGCAGCCAAGCGACTTTGCATCCCCCCAAAAAAAATGCAAGCACACTCTCGCAGTGTATGACTGCAAAACTATGCCGTTACTGAAGATTTCTGAAGAGTCACGCCACTAACCAATAATTATTGTAATAACAGTGTCTGCATATGTGTCCAAAACTAGTAACTTGAAGTCATACATTAAATGAATTTGTGTCACAGGCTTCAGAAACCATGCAGGACCCCCAGATTTTAACACTTGTTTTGGACTTGGCTCACACTTTCAAAAAGGCTTCCTTCATGTAACAAGCGTGAAAAGAGAAGTCTATAACATCACATTACTGCTCTGTGGATATGTGGGCTTCAGACAGGCGCGGAGAGAGGAGTAGATTAAGGCAGGGCATTTGGAGCGGAAATTGGGTTCTTTTAATTTCCCTCTGACAATGCTGACAGATAATTGAAAATGATGCTAAGGTAATAGACTCACACACACATACACACTTTGTGTCATGTTGAACCGCCGCTTTCAAGATAAAGGTATGTCATACTTGAGTGTTTTGTGTGTGTGTGTGTGTGTGCATTTCGAAATAACATACTAGCATACTATTTCTGCAGTAGGCTGACATAGGTACACTATGCACAATGCAATTTTTATGTATGCATGGAATAAAGCAGTTATGTTTTTTTGTAGGCCAACCTGCAAGTTCATATCAACCTAGTTCCCTTTAGAAAAAATAGGATTTTTCCTTTGGCTTTTGGATTATTGCAGAAAATAACCTCCGTGACCAACAACAGTTTATGATTAACACGTTTTGTTCATGATAATCTTAACAAATGAACACAACTCTCTGAATTTTGAAGCCTAGATACAATCCCTATAAGTATACAAACACGAGCTATAAATCAACTACATCACTATAAAATCACTACCATTAAATTTCTGACGACTCTTTCAGTTTTTAATTAAAAATTAAAAGTTTGAGTTTTCAATAGCGCGATTATAAACACTACTTCAGTAAAGTTTTAAGTACTTGAGTAGAAATGTTTCTATTGACTTTTTCATCTCTATATTTTGAAAAGGAAATGAATACTTTTACACTGGAAACATTTCTTCAGACACTTTCGTAACATTTGCTACTGCAAACAGTTGGAAATGTAGGCAGCATGTGGCCATACCTAAATCGCGAATGAATCAGTTGAGTCGAATCTTCGTTTAAATTCGATTCTTTCGAATCTGTCAAACCGGTTCGCAAAGAGTCTGATCCGGAGTCACGAATCTGAGTTTAAATCTCAAGACAAACACGCCAAACAATCTGTGGATCTCCATTAGGGAATCTAAAGATGCTGCTCGTGTAAGTTTTAATTTGTAATGGGTCTGAATTAATTTGATACGTGTTTGCTTAATAATTGTGAATGCTATGAAGTAGGCTACTGATGACGTTAAACGATAAGAATTGTTTATGTGATGGAACTCTCCTGCATTTCTCTTGTTTTGTGGTGTTTACATGAGTGCAGCAGATGCTAAGGTTTTCCCAGCGTTTTTTCCCCTTTGCTGTGTTGTTACTAGGGTGTTCTGGCTTGTTTTTAGGTCTTTTCTCTTTTATGTTAAAGTGGATTAATTCCTTTTGTTTAATTTGTAATGTGTCGGATTGTGTCAAAGAGCTATTGTGGTAGGACTACAACACTCTGTTGCCAGTGGTAGGCTATAATAAAACTGACTTGTGGTTTTGATATTGTAGTATTTTTCACATGAAAAATATTGTAACTTGGGTCGATTTCCATAAAGGTATCTTTACGATGATTGCACACCTTATACAACCCTGGTTATACTGCACAGTATTCAGTAGGCTAAGCACTGAGCTTTCTGAAGATAGGCATTGTTTATACCAGGATGCGCATGTCTGTCTTTACATCCAGGGCTATAATCTCACTCCTGCTCACCCTTCACAGATGCTGTTTGGATGTGTGGCAGAACCTCTTATCCAGCAGTGAATATTACCCCATCTACCTCTGCCCTGGGGTGTTAAAAACCCTGTGATTCCAAAAACCTGCACTGACAGACATCAAGGCTTTTCTGTCCACCAATGCACTAGAATTAATAAAAGTTGTATTATCAAGTGAATTATTTGACCACCACGGGACAGATATTTTTCTTAGCATGTCAGCAAGATTACACACACACACACACACACACACATATATATATAGATACAACAGTGTTCTTTCTGGTTCTCGGATCTCATTGGCTGAGAGCCTTTTCCAGTGGTGCGATATTCTAGTGATAACAGAACTCCAACTGTTTCACTCTATCACTCCGATTTCTCATAGTGAGGGTCATGGCAGACACCCAAATCCACTGTAATTTTATAAATAATACAGTTTTTTTTTTTTTGTAATGGAATGTGTTTTTTTTTTGTTTTTTAGGCAAGAATGTAGTTGTTTAGACTTCAGATATGCGGTTTGTTAATAAAGATAATGTTTATTTGAACATTTGCTTCTCCGTTTTCGGAGATGTGAGCTCGATGGTGTCAGCAGCTGTTCAGCGCTCATAAACCCGCCGAGAGCACCTCACCTCGGCCAGATCTTCTGGAATTTGCTGATGGCTCTATTGTGGTTAAACATGAGAGATAATTTGTTTTGGGTAAATCTAACAGGCAGTCTTCGGTCTCATTAATCTATTATTTGTTCCAGAGCAAATAGTTTTGGCTGAGGGAA